ACCCTCAACCAACTGTATCTGCATCTGAGGGTGCATTTGCAGTCCTGGCTGCACATCTATCAGATGCCGATATAGCTATAGCTATGCACATTTTGAACTCACTTGACTTGCCAGTTGCTAATAAGTGCGATGCACATACTACATCGCTACAGTAGAAATCAGCAAAGGGGAATTCAAAATAAATAATTAACGACTCCTTAGCTTTTGCAGGATAAATAAATCGTTTTAAAGCTTATAAAATTGTTAGCATATCTATTTTTGATTTTGTTGTGTAACTCCCTTCACTGAGAAAGGTAACTTATGTTGCCATGGGATATCTATAGCAATCATGGGCGTAGCCAGGATTTAGTCCAGGGAGGGGGCAAGATTTTTTTGGCCGATTTTTTACTACCAAATTATTTCCACTATACATAAAACACATGGAAAATGTGGAAAAATAGGGAAAAAAGAAATTCAAAATAAAATTTGAAATTTTGAATGCAATAAAATGTAAAAAAAACTTGCTAAAAAATAAGAAGATCTGTGATCGTGGAACTAATATAAATTTGGTCCCGTGCGAAGAATTTGAAATTATGTTTTCTTACATAAATGATCAATTTTTATATACTCGTATATACAAGTACATACGTGTACACACTTTAAAATGATTGAAATCTGGATGAATAACACCGGCTGCGAAAAAAAATAAAGTGGCGTGCAAACGGGGAGAAAAGTATGTAATTTTTCTAATGGGTGCTGCTCTCAGTTTGAAAATCAATTTATAGTATCAACTCTAGTTAATTTTCTAAAAAGAAGCTAAAATAGAATGGGAGCCGTATCTGGGGTCGGGGCACTTATCAAAAGAACGTTATGGCAGATAAAGAAATCTAAAATCATTTTTTTTTTCGATAGTTCAGAACTGAAACTGCATTTTCTGAACTGTTATACCAAAACTATTTTTAAGAGACAATAATGCACAACATTTTAAAATTAGTCGCATTGATATATATTGCCTCAGGTTTCGATAAGATCAGCGAACTGGTGGTCGGAAAAACAACTTATTTGCCCCGTTTGTCCCGTTGCCCAAAATCAACCTTAGCACTAAATATAGGGCTAGTCAAGAGTTATAAGTTGAGCATATTAACACAATATTTTCATGCCCATATATATATAGCCATGATAGCAATAATGCTCGGTCATATTTATGAGACTACTCTAACAGAGTTTTAAGACTGTAATTAATTTTGAAATCATGCTTTATCCGATGATGATAGCGCCGTGATTCGAATCGAGTCTTACTCAGGAATGAATTTACATTGTGGGATTCCTGTTAGCTCGTTGAGCCATTTTGTGATGCCATATAATCCCCTAGGTTTTTACTGGTCAGCTCTCAACCATTTGGTGTTATTCAGTTTTGGTATTTCTGTGTGATTATTTAGGAAGAGTGGCCCTAGAGCGATATGCCCGGACTACAACAGAGAAGGTGCTCTCCACTATCCACCTTTTTATCATCTCTGCAGCTTCTGTGAAAATTTATTTACTTGGAGAAATAAAAGCTGCTTGGTAATTGTGAAAACTTCTAAAGAAAAGAACTTTAACTCTCCTCTTAAACACGAATTGCGGGGGAGTGGTGAGAGAAGGGTGTATCAGCAAAAAACTCAAACTCGTCCTTTCTCCGACTTAGGAGAATCTGGATACCAAGTTTGGTTATTCTAGCTCTTGTACTTGATGAGATCCTTGCGTTCAAACAGACGGACAGACAGACAGACAGACAGTCGGACAGACGAACATGGCTATGTCAACTCGACTTGTTAGTAAGGCACGACAGGCTCGCAGGAATGGTTGCGCATCAGAATCCTATAAATGTAAAGCCATGTTGTTTTTGTTGTATAGTTTGTAAAACCCGGAAGAATTATAGTATGATGAGACGAAACCAATGCAATGTCCATTCGTCCGTTCGGCTGTATGTTTCAATCACTAGGATATAAAAATTATTTAAAAATAATCTCTACAAACGAAAACAATTTTTTTATAAATCCGGCAAGCAAATTAATTTGTTTGTTATTATTATTATTTGGTTTAATTTTTATTAATAATTAAAATTATTTTATCAGAGATTATTGAAGCATTAGGAGACCTAAATTAATTAATCTTTACGAAACCTTATAGTATTTTCATCTATTAATATTTAAGGTTGAATATTAAGAGCTGTTTATGTAAATTTTATTTTTTTTTATTTTTATTTTATTTTTATAAAAAAATCAACAAATTTACTGTCAATAAATAATTGATAATATTAGAAAGTAAAATAAAGATATTTATAGTATTACATTATAAGTTAAACTTAAAAGATAAGAAAGCCTAAGGGAGAGCTATACAATGACGTCTATTAATGCCTCCGACACGTTGGGGGAATTTTATTTGCCAGTTGGCCAGCTATGCCCCGATTCACAGCCAAATGTGGTCAGAGACATTATAGACCTAACAAACTAAACAAATAGCAAGTAGAAGAGAAGAATTAATTCTACTTAAGAACTAATTAGAAAAAGTAAGGTGTAGAAAGAGGAAGAGGAAAAAGAAAAAAAAATAAGGGGGAAAGAGAGATACAAAGACAGAGAAAGAGAAAGAGGTAAATCTCCAACCCGGTGGGGGAAAATTTAAATAAAGCAAATTGATTAATTACAAACTAATGGACTTTAAGATAGAAAGGAATTTATTAGGGATTCATATAAGGAAGCGCCACATTTTATCATCAATTACAAAAATGTACAAGAAGTTCCGGTTTTTTTTTAGACTTCTTAATGATGTCTTCCGAATGTTAGATTTTATTTTATTTCTATTTTTTAAAATATAAAACTTTAATTATAATATATTATTTAATTTATTATATTATTTATATTATTTAATACTGATGTCTCTCGAATGTTGAATTCTGAGCAATTTATGCTCATTTTTCTATCGATAGCGCAAACACAGGGTTACTTTGTGAGCGATAACACAGCTTCTATCAGTCCGATTGCCATAAAATGCTGATATCATGTCGATAAAAGTGTGCCCAATAAAAATAAATCCACCAGAAAGACATGCATATTTTTTAAAGTCCTTTTTATCTCGGAACGCATTAAAGTAGCTCTGATCGCATAGTTGTTTAAAGATGCTGCTTTGGGTCCTAAAAGGCGTGTCTGCAGCGTAATTCAAAACTAAGCCAACACAATCACACACATCCTTAACAGCCAAGGAGCAGTTGCAGTTTGTCGTAGGCGGGTCCAACTGTATATAAATATTCCTGCGTACACTCGGGCATTTATTGTTGTAGTAGCTGAAGGAAATTGTAGTTGCTTTTTGTTTGTGGCGCGTTGCCTCCGTTTTTTATTATTGCTGCTCGTCCTTTGGCTGCACCTGCTCTCTCGAAGGCGCAGCGCGCGTCTTTTGACCGCAATCGCTATTAAAACACAGTTTTGAAGTCGGCTTACAACAGCAGGAGGAACAAACCAAAACTGGCGCGTTGTTCTGCCTGTTTTTGTTGCTCATGTTGTTGTTGTTGTTGTTGTAGCTGTTACCGTTGGCGCGCTTCCATGTGGGGCTGCGCGCATCCTGCCTGACAAAAAGCGTGCCAAGCCAACAGCACCAGCGACTGGCAACAAACAAAAAAAATCAAGAAAAAATGTAAAAAATAAACTCTTACAACAAATTCAATCCGTTTTTATCTCTGCTGCGTCGTCGTCCCCGCCAGCCCCATCCTGCACAGTCCTGTGCCGCGTCTTGGAAACCACTTTCGTTTATTTTAATTTGCGCTGCGGTCGCTTCGTCGCTTCGTCGCTCCGTCGATGCGCCTGCTGCAATCGCAATCTGACAAAGCGTCGGCAGCTTGGCCACATATGTACGAGTATATATGTTGTTGTTGTTGTTGTTGTTGTTTTGGTTGGCTGTGCGGCAAGCTGCGAGTTGCGAGTTGCCCGTTCTGCGGCTGCATTTAATAACTGTTTTCGTTTTTATTGCCCCCAGTATTCACGAACTGGGCAACTGGTCGCCTGGCATTTCATTAAAAATAAAAAAAAATAAAAAATGTGCGTAAACCACGTGCCACTTTTTGTTGGCCCAGTCACTGTCAGAGCCACAGATGCTGCCTGCCTGCCACATGCCGGAGCTCCAACTCAATTATTGCACATTAACAAAATCAAAGTAGAGGACCAGAGACTACACTCTTCGCGCTGAAGGTGTTTAGAAAATTAAACGGAAACAATGTTCGATTAGGTGCTGACTCGAAACCATACACCTAATTCTGTTTTTACACGGTAGATTGGTTCCCGAAACAACAGTGTAAATAAAAAAGACATTGATCATGTGCACGAAAAGGTGATTGGTTCCGTATCTCTAAAGAAATATATTTGCAATTTTTTAATTTTCAAAAAAAAATCATGTAAAAAAAAGACCGTGTAAAAACAGACTTAGATGTACTGACTATTATACGAATATGCGAGTAAGTCTACACCTAATTCTGTTTTTCTGATTTAACACGTTTTGAAAATTAAAGATTGTATATATGGTTGCACGACTTTATTCCATTAAGCACGATTCAAAGTACTTGTAACATCTGATCAATGTCTCTTTTTACACGGTTGCTTACACGGTTTTTTACACGGTTTATTTACACAACTTTTTGTGCAACCAATCGACCGTGTAAAAATAGAATTAGGTGTATTCCCTTCCACAGTTTCAAAACTATAAATATTACGAAAACTGCATATACGGCTATGTCAGAACTTTAAATAGGTAGAATAATGTACCTTAAAGACCTAAATATAGGCCTCATTTCATTTTGTCCAATTTTTCTCCAATTGGAATTGGAAATTAAAGAAAGTTCGTATAAGCCGACAACTTACTCGATAAACTAACTTTTTTAATTCGACTCCATTTGAACGACTACGAATTTAAAAACAGTCGCAAGAATTCATATTCTAACTAATAACTACGTTCACCTGCCAAGCTGCCTATTATGGTTTATTTACTCCAAACTTTACTTGTGTTTATTATTATTTGTCTTTTATTGTTGCTCTTAGGTTTTGGTTTTATTTTTTACAGCTCGCATGTCGTCTTCCTTTTTGCAATGAAAGTTTTGGGCTTATCTTCTTAGCCGTCCTCTTCTTGTCCGTCTACCTATGTCCTTGCAGCAACATGACGCAGCAGGTCGTACATCTTCTCCTTTATCCATTCTTTGTTATGCGGAGCATAGGATTTGGTCGATGGATCAAGCACCATGCATCCGATGTCCGGCACCTGATCAATGAACTCGAATAGCTGGCGAATATCGTACGTAATTGTTGGATTATTCGGATTGTAGAGCTTGAGATGCTCTTCATAGACCTTGCATATACCCTCCAAGCACTTCTCGACGGTTTCGTAATCGCAAAAGGTGCGTGACTCACGACGCGTGCTTGCCTGAATAAAAAGTATGGTATGCGACATATCCACGTGTGTCCCCGACATTTCCAGTTTTTCTTTGGCAGTTTGGCTCTTTCCAACGCTGCAATTATCAATTAGAATGGCTCTTGCGCTTCTCTGGACTAGTAATAGTAATACTTACTACAGTAAAATGGCAGTGCTAAGGAAGAAATGTTCGGTTTTAATTTGCAAGAGATCCCTGGAACACAATGAAAAAGTGAATCTGACATTTGACAAAAGTTTGATAGGTCGTGTGAGCCGACTGGAATGCTTCCGATTATTATTATTTTGCTTCTTAACACCAGATTGGCAGCTCTCTCTCACATAAGAAAAGCCAGATTTCTTGTTTTCTTTTTTTATAATTACAGCATGTTTATGGCTGCGTATTTTTCCAAAGGGTTTTTTTTACAAATGTTAAACTTTAATTATACTGTTATTATTTACAACAACCTGAATTAAACTTATAGAAAAGTACAAATACAGCTCAAACTAGGAGTTTAGTCTTATGTAATTATTTATACTTTATATAAAACTATTGGCAAGATCAGCGGGGTGTGACCTTCTCACTAATCTTCTTCCTTTTCTTGTTTCCAAAGAGTGAAGAGACGGGGCCAAAAAATTAAAATTTTTTATTAAATAAATAGTAATTTATGTGTAAGATCAATAAAAACACTTCAACAAATGCAACTCAGTTCCGTTTTATGGTAAAATAGTTCGCCATAATAATACATGTGAGGTCGACTTCATATTGCGAAATGTTTTTAGGGGGATTCCCCTGCGTACGCCCTTGTGCGGACATATTCGTAAACGTGCTATCAGGCTGCTCAGCGATGCCAATTTGACTCCTCGTAGCTGCCGTTACATATTTTTTTGTGGGAGGACGTTAAGGACCAATCTTATGCCAACTATCCATTAACGACTCATACCCTTGAGGCGAGCAACCTATTTTTGTGAAGCTAGAAAAATAATGGGAATGGGAAAATAATGTTTGCTCCTTTAAATAAATTAATAATATATCGAAAAACATAGATTTTTATTCATTTTTTTCTAATTTAGAACAAGAAACCACTTTGGTGGTCCATTTATTTACCAAAAAAGTCAAATATATTTGTGTAGCTATTAAGAAAGACAAAGAAGTTTTTTACTATTAAAAAGTAATGCAATTATTAGAGTAAAATTCTATTATAGATCATTAATACAAGCAGTGAGGATAAGCTTTTAAAGTAACCAAACCATTTGTTTTAGGAATATTGATTGCGTTTCATCTACATTTTTAAGCCCAAACTAAAGTATTAAACCAAATATTACCCAGGCTTCCTTTCCACCCTTCCTTTTTACCCTATTTCTAGTAGTTCACATAGTTGGAAATTAAACCGTTACAGTTTCTAGTTATGACAATAATTAGGGCGCGGAATAGAGTATTGAAATACATATATCCAATACCATCAACTTTCAAAGGACAATCAGACTTGCGCAAAAGAATTTCAGTTCAATTAGTCTTTTAACTGGCCACACTAATTGTTCAGATACAAATATTTGAAATATTTAAACTCTAATTGTTGACCATTTCCGTTGATAACTGAAACAACTCTGGTTTATTTTTTAAAAACAATTTATTAATTTTTTGTATTTTTCATTTATGTATATGTAAATACCAAGGACAATATAATTTCTGTTTTGTTTTTGCAATAATGCTATGCTAATGCGTTTACTTTGTTTAAAGTTTTTTGATAAGAATTATTCATAATTTCAATAAATAGTTTTTTAAATGTTTAACTTTGTTTATCAATAATTGTGTTTTTGTTTTGCTTTTGCTTCTGTTATTTTTGTTATTTTTGTTATTTTTTTACAATTTACACAACTGAAATATATTAAACACTATGCACTAGTTTAGCTCGATCTTTGCGTTTATATCTGGTGTTTTCTTTTTTTCTTCCTAACTCTGGGAATCGATTATGAAAAAAGTGGAACTAAAGACAAAAACTTGTGTGATGGCTGATGTGTCTCGCATTAAACACGAAGCAATGGCAAAGCAATGGCGCTAGTAAGCCTTATATCTGAAAACATCTGCATACATAAATACATACTCGCTATACTTGTCCGTCCGTAAGTTTGTATGTCGTGTGTATGTGTGTGTGTGTGTGTGTGTGTGTGTGTGTGTAAGGATGTTCGTCTGTTTGCTCAGAGCAGTGCCAGAGAAGGATTACAGTTGGATTCGAGAGCCGTAATCACAACGATGCTAGATTCGAAGCGTTCGTCTATATAGTAGATCGTATATACTTGTACATAGATAAGTATATAAGAAATGCATCCAATTGCTGGCACACAAAACTGTCTCTGTCTATATATAACTTGTACACTAGATATATAAATATGTTCCATCACTTTTATAGTTTGCTATAGTTTTGAAAATTGTTGTTCTTTTGTTTTTGTTTTCGTGTATTTGTTAGTTCCATCAGTGGTTCATACGGTGCTTCGTTCTCGACGTTGATATATGACAAAAATATATATATATATATGTATATATAAGTGAGCATTTAAATTTGTTTCTCTAGATGTGTATATTACAAGTCGTGTCTGTATGTGTGTCTATATAGCAGATATATAATCGGGTCTTGTTATGTACTAGGTGGCACAGTTTTTGAAGTTTTTCTCTTTAGTTCTATAGTTAGGGTATTTTCTGGTCTGTTTCTTTATAAGTATGAGTGGTTGAGAGAAGAAAGCTAGCTTCCGGCTAGCCAGATAAACAAATTTTGAACAACTTTCGAACAATTTAGACCGAAGTTTATTGGAGAATTTAGAAGGCGAGACTATAAATCATACATATGTGGCTGAATCTATAACTATAAAACGTTGACTATTTCAATTTTTTATACACATATATCTACAGCGTCGATCTCAACTGTTTTTATTTTTAATTACACAATGTTTATATATATATATATATATATTTATCGACTTATGTACCTTATGCTTAGCGCATTGAAAGTCTAGCTCAATCTTTTTACAACAATTTGCTGAGGCTGCAGCTCTGCTAATATCAACTATATATATAGTTCGGTGTATATATAATTCGCTATTGCTATTTTCGTTACAATATACGAGTACGATTTACGTGGTATGTGTGTTATTTATGGTATTTATAAGCTTGTTGTTGTAGTTGTTGTTTCTTCGTTTCCTCGTGTGCGAGTATAAATGCCTTTTACCCTTTAGCATAGCTTTAATAGCTGTTCTATATCGATATTTTTTGTTTTGTTTTTTTTATGAATATAGAGTAGCAGCTCTTTACATATGTTTTTGAAATTGAAATTGTTGTTGGTTTTTGTTGCTTCAAATTGCTTGTCATTGTCGTTACGTAAGATATAGTACGCTTCACGCTATATGTATATATGTAAATATATATATATATATACGAGTATGCAATATATGAGTAGAATGCACGCTTATCATACACAGAGCATGTATACTTGGCGTCTCATAATGTATAGTTTAGTAGTACATACATATATGCTATCCATTAAGTTAAATAAGCCTTGTCAGTTTTGCCGCAATTTACAACCAAGCTCGTGTATTGCAATAATCGATAAATCGCCAATTCGATCCATCATTGCAACGCACAAACGTAGCAAAAGTATTTATTTATTCTGTATACATACAAGTATATACATCTGTCTGTATGTAGTACAAGTATATAGCAATTATTTGTTGACCATTTAGTAAAATTTCTCTGTTATCTAATACAAGTTCTTGTATTTCATTCAAGTAATGTTGTGGGGCATGCCAAAATTTTGTGTACTCGAAAAATGTTTTCATTGAAATATATATATATATATATATATATATATATATATATATGTATGTATGTATATATGTATAGGTTTTGCACTAACTTTAACAAACATCATGCGCGTTTTTTGTTCGGCTTAATTTCGTTCTGTAATTTAGCTAAAAATTTACATAACTAATATACATCGTACATATACAGTAAAGCGTTACATAATAGTCAACAAAAATACATATTCATAACATATTCCATTGTTATCAATTTCTTTTCTTTCATTCGCAAAAATTGCTTTTCCTAAAAGTTGCCATTCGAGTATATATACTATATAGTACAATACATACACATTCATATACTAGTAAGTATTGGGCTTATAGAGTAGGGGGAGACGGGGGGATAGAGCTTAGCAGAGAGATAGAGATTTTGTCGTCTGCGTGTTGACATAAACGTAAGAAGCCAGGCATACATAAATATTTATTTAGCATAAGTACTAGACATAAAAAGTGAACTTCAAGTCCATGTTCAGGGTCATGACTTAAACAAATTGCTCAAATGACATGCATAGATATTGCGTGAATTTCGATTTGCGATTTAGTCAAGAATTATTCGTAGTTTCACGTTTAAACACTATCACACACAACAAACAAAATCAACAACGAAATTTGTGTTGTAAACGATTTGCCGATTAATAGCCAAAAATTGCAACAATTGCAAACATTTCTTGCAAAAACCAAGTGTCAAGTAAAATGTAAGTAGAGGCGCAAAATGTGAGTTGCAAATAGCGAAAAAATAGAGCGTAAAAGAGAAATGCAATGATATCCATTTTGTTTTGTTTTTTTTTTTCGTTTTTCGTTTTTAGTATGTATATTAAAAAGAGTTCTTTGTTTTTGTTTCTTTTTTTTTCTTTTTGGTTTGCTAATATTTTACAATAAATAGATTTTGCACTTGCTGTTGTTATTGCTGTTGCTGTTGTTATTGCAGTTGTGCCTTTTGTATATATTTTTTTATTTAAAATTTTGCTTAGTTCTTCATACCTGCGATCGCGCCCTGTCGGCCCTTAACTTTATCGTTTAACGTTGCTTTAATGCCTTTTTTAATGCTTTGGTTTTTGTTTTGTTTTTTTGCTTAATGCCAATCAACCTCAAATTTTAAGCGTTCGTTTTTCTACTGCCTTGTTAGCTTTATGCATAGTTTAAATGCTATCATCAATTTTGTTAGCTTTAGTTTAATGTAGAGAAGCGTAGCTTTTGTAGTTCGTATAATTCGTTTACCATTTTCTGTTGTGGGTGAGTAAGAAAATTGAGTTGCTTTTGCCTTTGTTTTTGCTGCTGATGCGGCCGCTGATGCTGTTTATGCGTGGCCGCAGCAAAGCATTTAACAAAAGCATTTAACAAACATTTAAAAAAGTGTGCAGTGTGCAGTTAAATTGTACTAATTACATTTAAAGTGTTGGTTAACTCGATTTGATTTTAAATATGCGCTGCTTGCTTAAAGTTGTTTCGTGTATGTATAGTGGTGGTTAGTAAGTATGTTTTATACTCGTGGTGTGCTGTGGTGTGGTGTGGTGTGTGTAACTGCTGGGGTTTGGCTCAACTGCGACGCTGCTTGTTGCGTGCGCTGCTTTAACGACACAGTATTGGTTGTTGGTGTTTTTGGTGTGTGTGGTGTGGTAGTGTTGTGTTGTATTTTGGTAGTTTGGTATTGGTGTAATTGCTTTTGTTGTTGTTGTTGTTGTTAGTAATATTTAATTCGACTAGGTTTTAATTTGTTTTTTACATGTGTTTTATAATTTAATTGATATTTGTATTTTATAACTTTACAAATTATTTGCTTAGGTGGGCTTTCATTTGTTTGTTGTTGTTGCTGTAGCTGCGTTAATTACATAAACATCGATGCATATGCATGTGTGTGAGTGCGTGTGAGTGTGTGTAGGTGTGTGTGTGCTTCTGTCTGTTGCTGTTTTTGTTGTTGTTAACAAAAGCCGCAGCTTTCTGCTTCTGCTTCGTCTTCTTGTCTTTTTCTTTTGCTTTGGAAACACTTCTCTTCTTCTTACTTGCGCTGTGTGGTGTTCTTTGTTCTTGTTCTTTGTTGTCCTTTTTACAGTGTCCGTGGCTCTGTCTCTGTGTCTGCTGCTAATTAATTGATTTCTCTTATTGTTTAAGGATTTACTTTTATATGTTTATAAGCTCTTGTTTCTTCTTCTTATTTAGCTTAACGTATGCCATATTATTTGTGATTTTTATTCATGGTTGGGATGTTGTTTGTGGGGGGATTTATACAGTTTGTCAAATTAAATTGATTTTTCTCATTAACATAACACTTTTAACGACTAACACTTTTAGACTACGTTTCCTTCATAATCATAAGTAGTTGTAGTAGTAATAATAAGAATAACAATAATAATAATAATACAATAATAGATACTGTTAATTTTTTTGTTCTTTTTTCTCATTTTTTCTTTTTTCATTTTAGCGTTCGAGTTTTCTAAAGGGGAGAGAAAGAGCAGTTCTAGGTTGGTTTCGGGTGTTTTGGAGTTACATATATACGTGTATATGTCTCTGGCTGGTTGTCAATCCAATCTGTTGCCTGGAGGGGCCGAAGTAGGGGAAGAGCTTAGGTGTGGAAAGCGGTGCTGGAAAGCGGTGAGAGCGGGGAGAGCTGCTCTAAACCAGTTTTTCACATTTTTTTCTTAAATTTTTTTGGTTTTTTTTGGCAGTGTTTTTTTTTTTTAAATATTGATATTAATTTGCAAAACGAGGCTTGGTTTCAACACTGTTTGGGAGGTCCTTGATATGGCGCTAACCAATACCAACACAAATGAACACTTTTAATAGAAATGAATAGCTTCAGTTGAAAATCATTGATATTCTTTCTTCTTCTTTTTTTTTTTTTGGATAGAGCATCTCTCCCGACTACAACAAAACAACACAGAGAGGAAGGAGTGTGGAATAGTTAGTACACGTACATACACATAGGTCTCTAATGATATTAACCGGTGGTGGGGGGCTTCAAGCTCTTACAACATTCAGTTACAATCTTTCAGATTTACATTTACAGCATGTACTAGTACTAGATAGTCCAATTTTGTTTTGGGGCTTTTCCCTTGAATTTTTCCTGTGCCGTATCATAAAGCGCTTCGGTGTTGTACAATTGGCGTGCATGAGGAAGCGACGAGCGAGGAGCGTAGAGCGTGGGGTGTGGAGAGTTAGTCGAAGAGAGAGAGAGAGAGAGAGCGCAGAGAAACTGTTGTTGCAGTTACTTAGGAGCTGTAGCAATTGATTCTTCGGGTTGTTAGCACAATTAAACTGTTTACTGTTATTGAATTCTTCTTCTTCTTCTCGAAAAGCAGTTGAAAATATTGCCAAAAAATGTGTCCAATTATCCATTTATTGGTAGCTGTTGTTGTTGTTGTTGTTGTTTTTGATGATATCCCTTCGATTTACTGGTAAACGGAATTATTATGAGTTCGGTAGCTGTTGCTGTGACTGCTGCTGCTGCTGTTGTAGCGATGTTGTTGTTGCTGCTGCTGCTGTTGCTGTTGCTGCTGATGCGATGATTGATAATGGGGATGGGACTGGGGGTGATGATGATGGGGATGGGGATGGTATTGTTGTTGGTGATCGTGATGCTCACGATGGTGTGCGTGTGCGTGTGAGTGTGAGTGTGGTTGTGAGTGGTCCTGTTGGTATTCTCGTTCGCGATGCTCTCGCTGCTCTCGCAGTTGCTGCTGACGCTCCCGATTGTGTTGCTGTTGTTCACGTTGTTGCTGTTGTTGTTGTTGTTGTTGCTGCTGGTTTTGTTCTCTTTGTTGCTCTCGTGTTGGTGTTGATTCACGCGATGCTTTTGTTGGTGTTGTGCTGCTGTGTTGTTGTTGTTGCTGTTGTTTTGTTGTAGCTGTTGTTGTTGCTGTGTTGGTGGGTGTAGTGTTTTCACGTGTTGTTTGTTGCTGTTGTTGCTGTTGCTGCTGTTGTTGCTGCTGTTGTTGTTGTTGCTGTGTTTGTGTTGGAGTTTGTGTTTGTGATTGTGATTGATGATGATGATGATATTGTTGATTGCTGCTGCTGCTGCTGATGTTGTTATGCAATTCATGAGGCAGTGGCGGTGGATTTTTAGCTTTTGTCAGCGGTATTGGTGTTGGCATTGGTTTTGGCGTCTCCGTTAAATCGATACCCCATTCATAGAGGAACTCGAGTTTTTGTCGTTCCAATGGGTCACTAGCCGGCAGGGCAAGCAAATGTTAGGCTTCTAAAAATATTAACGCTGTTGGTTTCGGTTCCAAATTTGATTTTTTTGCTTCGACAACTAAGAAGGTTATTTCAGCCTTTTCACGATTAGCAAAGCATTCGGCTATAAGGCGTGCAACCTCCTGCGAAATAAATCAGAAACGTATATTATAAGTATTTGTTGCAAACAAAAACTATATCCAAACTAATGCAGCACCTGATGGTGTAGACCCTCGACCTTAGTGCCGTCTACCTCCAAAATTAGCTGCCCGACTTCTAGTCCGCCCGCTTCAAATGCTGCACCATTTTCCTGAAGAGAGGCAGAGAGAGAGAGAGAGAGAGAGAGAGAGGGAGAGACGAAGTGAATGGAAATACGGATGCGTGGGGGGCAGGGGGATACTTACATGGATATTGATTATCCTAGGGAGCGGGTGTTTTGTATTAGCACCACCTTCGATAGCAATACCTAAAATTGGTTTGGTTTTCTTAACTGTAATGTGTAAGTTGCCTCTATGATCAGGTACGACGTTTGGATTGTGTTCATGTGTTTGTTCAGTCGTTGAACCACCATTTTGCTCAGCTGACAGACGCTGCATGGACTGTGCATGAAACGAGACAGCAAGATAGAGCCATAACAGTTAACAAATATACGCTCCAGATAGATATAGACGAGTATGTGGGTAGTGGTAGTAGTATGGACTGAGTAGCGCTCCACTCCAGATCAAATCGCTTGGCAATTGGCTGCAAACTAGTTCAAGACCTACTCAACTAGCACTATTAATGGATTAATTAATACAAACGAGTACTATATAGTGTATTGTCGGTAATATATTTTTGTAGTTTGTATTTACTGTATTCATAACAAAAGCAACTTTAGTTAGGACTAGAGGAAGATAAAGGCAAGCAAAGTCAAAACATATAGTATGTAGTAGTATTGTAGTAGAAGGTATGTATTTTTTGAGTAAGCGAAATTATTTTGTACTACATAGTAAGTATTTCAAGTAATTCGAAAATAGTTGTAAAGTACTAAGTAGGTAGTTGAGTAGTAGTAGTAGTAGTAGTAGGAAGGAGTATGTATAGGTGTGTGTGTGTGTGTGTTTAACAAACAATCAAAACTAAGCTGCAAGGCTGGGGATTCCAATTGAATGAATTTTACAAGACTTGCAAGTTTTATGAAATCATAAATGCAGATACTTTTATAGTTATAGTTTCAATGGAATATGAATGACCGAATTGTGCAATTTACTTTTCGATTCGAGGCAGATTTCAAAACCTTTTTTTTTTTGTGGGTGTGTGTGTGTGTGTGTATTTGTGGTGTGTCTTTAAATTTGGGCAGCTAGTTCATAAGAAATAAGAATAGAACGTTGCAGAGATAATTAAAGATCGCATTTCAAACCGCAACGATTCAATTGCTTTGTAAGCTTTCAAGTGCTTCAATAATGTCTGGTATTTTTCATAAATAAGTAGATGTAGAATATTCTTGTAGTAAGTAGTACGAGTAGTAGTTGTATTTTGCTGTATTTTGTTTTCGATAACGATTCTTGCAGTGTTGCACTAAAAATTTGATCACTCACCTGATGCCTTCGTACACCTTTATCGCCCAGCAAAGTGCCGCCCTCTTCCTTCATATCGAAACTTCTTGAGAGTTTTGTGGCCAACTCCTATTTTTTTTATTTTTTGGTTTTGTTTTTCAACAATCGTTTTTTGTGTTGTGGCATTTTCATGGGACAGGCATTTATCGGCAATTTTTTTTGCGTAGTGGGCATAGTCATATATTTTTTGTACATTTCGTATTTTTGAATTTTTTGTTTTTTGTTTTTTTTTTTTTTTTGTACAAAAAAGTTATATGTGAAAATGAAAATAGTAGAAATATTTGCATAAGAATTTATTGTAGTTGTTGCTAGAAAAGAACATTTTTGTTTCTTGTCTTTTGTAAAATGCATTGCGTGTGGAAATTTGTTCGGTTTGCTGTTTTGGTTTTTTTTTTTGCAACGACAATAAAAAGTTGGTGACGTCATGTCATGTGATTTGATTTGATTGTTTTTGGTTTTGGTTTTAGTTTGATTTTTGTTTTGTTTGTTCACTTGCAAACATAGAGAGATAGAAGTTTAATTGAATTGAATAAAATATTGCAGTGGCACAGTAGATTGGTACACAGTGGCTTGAAAGTGGTGGATGGCTGAGGGAGGTGGTTGTGACAGAGCTTGATTCTGGAATGGTGGTTTGCACTTAGAGGGCAGCATATGCAAAGCGTTTTCGTGCTCAAGTGTATCGATCCGAGCTGAACTGAACTGAGCTGAGTTCAAGTCAATGTGATTTGCATTCAAGCTGCAACGACTTGCCTCAATGCAATAAAGAGTATATGATTGAATGTATTCTCAATTTAAAAGCATTCGTTGGAGGAGACGAGTCGCAATGAAACGTATGAGTATATCTATGTACGTCAGTATATGTCGAAACTTTACAGTTACCAGTCAATGCGAATATGTGGAATCCCAATTGACATTCCTGCTAATAATTAAATTATAACTTTCGGCATCAATCATTGTCAAATTATGGGGCTCTTCATTTGTTAGAATGTAAGGCATGTTGAAGGCAATGCTGGTATCGATACGAGTACTTATGGAAGGATGCAGTTTAGTTTGCGCTGCTCGATACCTTGTGAATCAAAATAGTTCTACAAATTTAACTGATATTATGATTTTATCAATTGAGTGATTTTATTTACCGCTGAAAGGCATATTTTCTATATAGTTTCTTCTTCTTAATTGGGTTTAGGCATATATACTTTTCGAAATTAACTTCCTTTACGAAAGAAAATGTGTTCTTTCAGCAAAGTAGAGTTTGTTATACCCTTGCAAAGGAGAGGCGTTTTTCTATCTAAAAATGTGCATACCTTTTTAAAAAGACTTGATCTTACTAAATCATTAGAGGCATCGATACTTGTTGATACCTTAATGTTTGGGGTACGTAGGGCTTACAAACGCTCATTGGTTTTACAACCAAACAATTTCTAAAGCTCTGCCTTTTACATATTAATTAGACTATGAAGAGATGGCAGTTATTTATTTATGTAGATAGAAAGTATTACTATCTAAATGTGTAAGTATAGTAATATTTTTTTTACTAGCTACATATTATATATCTATTTTGGCCATACATATGAGATAGAATTAACGTAAAACCATTTTGTTTGGGAAACATGGATTTCAATGGAAAGAATAGAAAAGAATAGCGATGTATAGTATATTTCGTAACTCCCGGACAACTGGTTTGGCTAAATAAAAATGATTGAAAAGAGTTGTTTTCATTTTTCCATAACAACAATATTTTTCACTCTTAATGTTTACTTATTAAATATATTTCTCACATTTTATGGCATTAAATTATTTTGCAGTTTCTGTTTTTAAAAACAGCATTGGAAAGCAATGTTACTAAAAAGTTCTTAACTTCAATTCCACTCAATGATTAATATAGATATCATAATATTTAAAAAAACGAAAACAGACCAGAATTACTAAAAACCTCGAAAATATCCTTAATAATTGTCATTAGTTTTTATAAGGAAAAGTGATCTCAAAAGATATTTGCAAGGATATACAATGTTCGGCAGGCCGAATACGAAGTTCTCTCTAGATTCCTTTCCCATATCGCAATTATATGTGGATTCCTAATTGAAAGCCACTTTAGGTATACAAGTATATCACTCCGAATCGGTACTACAAGTAAACTATGCCCGCCGTGCTTTAGGAGTGTGCGTGTCTTTTGTGCAAAATATGAGAATGCAAGTGCCGTGTATTTGGTATACGAGTATCACTGTGAGTGGGTGTGGGTGTGTGCGTGTGCGTGTGCTTGTGGACGCTGCAACTATACAAATGTGTACATTATGTGTGTGTGTGTGTGTGTGTGTGTGTGTGTGTCAGTAGATATAAATATATTTATGTGTAGTACTATATAGAAAATGGCTTGCAAAATGGCAACTAAGACACTTAGAGTTTTGGACTAAAATTTCAACAAGACTAGTACACTATGGAATTATATATATGTAGATAGATATATATATGTATATATATATATATAGTCGATGGAGTTAGTAAAGCGCTAACTAAAACTTCAAAACTTGAATTATTATTTTACAGATCTAAGTATGTAGCTAACTACGGCACGGCTAGAAGTGTTAGTGTAACTGTGTGCGTGTGTGTGTGTGTTTGTATGTTGTGTGAGTGTGTGTCAGTGTGTGTGTGTGGGTGTGTGTGTGTGTGGACAAAGGGCAGCAGCAGCTTGAATTGAATACCAAAATACTAAACTTAAAATACGGGAATACTAATTACAGGGCTTGGAAACCCAAAAAAAAACATGATAGTCGAACAAAATCAAAAGAAGAAGAGAACAACTGAAGCGTTGGCACTACAAACCAAATAAGGAGGGGATGTTGATGTTCGAATACTATATATGGCTGGCAGTGAACCAATTGGCGTGTGTCGTGATAATGCCGTTGTAGATACATATACATATGTAGTTATATAGTAGTAGTTATATGTAAGTAGAAATCAGGGTGACTCATGCGTAAATGTGCAAATGTATTTTTCAAGCTTCTTCTTCATCATCATCATCATCATCATCATCATCATTGTTTTAAGTTAGTTTTGTTTTGACGTTTTGTTTAGTTGCATTTTTGACAATTTATTTGCGGTTGATTTGTGTTTAAGATCTTAAAGATTTTAGCAATTTCCTTTATTTATTTGTAGTTATTTTTTTTGAGTATACTTACATATATTGACAACTTTACTTTACAAGAGACTAAAGAACTCTAGTTTGAGAAAAAATGAAACTAGTTTTTGTTGGGGTGCGCCACAGAGAAACAAACCATAAACATAACCATTTAAAGGATAAGTGAAAAGTTCGCTTTTCTAGTGACTAGACAAAAAAAAAAAAAAAACAACAACTAAGAGTTCAGTTAGTTAGTGTGTGTGTGTGTGTGAGTGTGGTGGCAAGCAAGTCTTTTGAGAAAAAAAGAAGAAAAATTAACTAAAATGCAAATTCCTACGAATATAAAAATAACAAAACAATCACATACTCAATGCTTATTTAACTTTTTGCACTTGCATTGTGCCGAGTTACTTGCAATGCACATACAAACAGTTACAAATAGAGAGAGACAGAGAGTTGGAAAGAAACAGAGAGCGAGTGAGTGAGCGAGTGTGTGTGTGTGTGAGAGAGAGAGAGAAGGCATAATAAATGTACGAGTATTAGCAACAACACTATTTAATTAAGGCTTATGCGCTGAAGATGCAACGAGATGCAATTCAAAAGAGTCGTACAAAAACGCAGACGTGAACATTTCATTATCATTTCCATTTCATTAAAAATTTAATTTAATTGAATTTAATTTTTTGTTGTTTGTCGTACACAATTTTGGTGTGTTTTTTTCTTTGTGAGTTGCAGTTGTTTAATTGTTATTGTTTCTATTTTTTGCAGCTTGTTGGTTTTTTGATTTTTATGGTTGTTTTTTGTTTTTGTTTTTCGATTAACGAAAAATACATTGGCACTTACAAGAGGTCGTCCCCAATACCATGATTTGACACGTTGGGTTAAACCACCCAAATGTGAACGTAGTCCATCTAAGTAGCCGCCCTGAAATGCACACAAATGAACAAACGAGAACAATTTCGGAGGGAGTAAGGGTACAGGTATTGGTATCGGTATCGGTATCGGTATCGGTGGCACGATAGAAGAAATCGAATGAATACGAAAAGTATGCGAGCGACAGATCATGAAACAATACTCGTGTATGTCAACGAAAAAGTGCCCAAAATTATACTCGTAACTAGTAAAGAAAGATCAAATAATATATAGTAGTAGTATAGTAGTAGTTTGGTGTTTTTGTAAATTATAAAAACTTAAGGTTTTTATAGAGATAGATACAGAGAGAGAGAGAGAGAGAGAGAGTCTGAGCTGAGTCTGTAAGGTTGTAACTAACTACTGTGGTCTAAGCTCTCACTTTGTAGATCTAGGCTATATAAAATATGGTCTAAAGAGCTTAAAAACGTACAATGTGTTTAATAATGGTGGTTTTGCGAAAACAGCGCTGCAGGTTTTTCTTTTAAAATTATATTTACTCTCTATGGGGACTACGCTGTTCTTCTACAGACTTCTTATTTTTATTTAAATAATTGTGTTATAGAATTAAATTTTAATGATGTTTTTTAAACTTACATTACCATGCTACCAGATCAATATAGTTTTGTCGAAATATATGTGGAATAAAGTACAACTAATACCCAAAGTAAACTATAAATATTTTTATTGAAAACTATTTTGTTGGGAAAGATTCAAAACGATTTAATGAAGGCCCTTTCCTTTCCAGCCGTTTTATTACTATAAACTACCCATTTAATTTATGAAATTGTTTAAGGTTGATTGTTAAATTTATTACTAAAGGACTACAGATATATTTACGAACGAAGCTAGGAAGATATTCAACGACAGCACAAGCTGAAGTTGCAACAATTTCTTATAATTATTATATTTTTGTTCTGCTTACACAAATACTTATATGCTTTACCATTTCTCTACCCATTCGTTTGTTATATACTATATACTTTATGTTAAAAGTGAAAGCTGTACCTTTAATTTCAAGTACAAAGTATTGCTTAATAAATAAAGCAATTTAAATTATTGCTTATTTGTTCTGATAGGTATAACAACTTAGTCCCCATTGCTCTCCAAGCGTGTAAGCTCTGTTGAGAGGAAACGAGTTTTCTTAACTAACCTGCCCCTAACTACCCTTACCCCCTAACAACCACAATCGTCGTTCTATGCTAAAAATTTGTTGCCTACTTGTAGGGGCGGCGATGAGCAATTTACGCCACAAGGACATGTTAACAAAGCCGATGCGCCTTTTCTCCTTTTCCTCCTACAGTGGATGATACATTTTAATAATACAGCACAACTTGTTAATCAAATTGTGCACAGTTTTCTACATACTATGCTTGCGATACACTATATACGAGTATATACAAGTATATACATGGAATATATCTTTTATGAAACTGCAAAATGTTACAATTACTGCCTACACTTTTGTTGTGATTTTTTTCATCTTCTTGCGTAGTTGCTAGCAATTTAGCAGGCAAACCACAATGCGTATTGTGTAGGAAAGAACCCGAAGCCCAGCATTAAGCATTTGCATTGTTAATATAAGTATATATAGTATGTATGGATATATCTTTAAATTACACGATTAAGCGGCGCAAAAAGAAGAAAAAGTATTTGTAGTGTTAAGTATGTATTTTACAACGCCTTGGCGCAAGACTTTCCATTACATTTGTACGTATGCGGCTAATTTATCCGCTTCCTTATTGGTTTTCATTGTTATATGAATGTGTAAGAGAGAGTGTGTGTGTGTGTGTGTGTGTGTGTGAGTTTGTGTCTGCGTGTGTGTGAGTGTGTTAGTGTGTGTCTTGGCTTGTGTGTACAAAAGATAGTTGAAAAAGTGCTTAAAGTAGACGACGAGACCGAGGCATACGAGAAACGAAATAAATTTCAAGCAATGCTTACCTGTTCCTGTTATGCATTTATTACGCATACGACGGGGTGTGCGTGTTTGAAAAAGTACACGAACGAGAAGAGGAAGAGAAGAGAAAACAAACAAATTCAATTAAACTAATTGATATGCACTCAAAAGCAGCAAATAACTGCACATTTCATTTCATTTGCTGCAATTAAATGTTGATATTTAAACTGTTGTCAAGCACCCAAAAAAACAAGAGGAATAAAATATAAAAATAAAATAAAATTGAAATAAACACTTCGCCACTTTTCAATGCCAAGCGCTTTGTGTGTGCAAGTGACCATCAACTTTTGGCCAACAACGAGCGCAAAAAGCAACCAAAAGATTTTCTGTTTACGTCATGCAAGAGGCGAGCAAAACAAAAAAGGCCGACAAAAGGCGGCGGCACAGCAAAACGTCGACAACAGCAGCAGCAGCAGCAGCAGCAGTGGCAGCAGCAGCAGTAGAAGTGGCAGCAGCGGCAGTGGCAGTGGCAGCAGCAGCAGCCACAACAAAGCGGCAGTTAGCGCACAGCTGCAGTCAGCCACAGATACAGATACAGTATCTTTGAGCTACTGTTACTGCTGCTGATGCTGATGCTGACTGGCTAACAGCAATAGCAACAACAGCAACAACAACAGCAACGGACTGTATCGGCCATTGCGTAAAGCTGTTTGCTAGTCAGGCCAGCTGTACGCATTTGTTTCCATTATTTCTTTTATACTCTTTTTTTTTTACTTTTTTGCACCCCGATGCTCGACAATGGGGCTATATTGATTTCGATTGGATGTGTGTCTTGCCGTATCTGGCAACGAGACGGGAAACTACAACAATTCACACACAGACTATAATTTCTATGGAGCAAATATTTGATACCAATATTTGTCTGTTGGGTATAATGTCTCAACCCAATCATTGGATTAGATGCAAATAAGAGAGAACCAAAGAAGCATCGTGTTTTTGAATATTTCAAAGATTAAGGCATCCACAGGAAGTGTAGATTTAAATTTAATTGAAGCAAAAACAAGCCTGTGCTTTTTATACATTTTTCATTCAATATAACAAAATATCTTACATAGTTTTAAATGTCTTTTCGTAACCAATAGCACCTATAGCCCTAAGGACAAATGACGTATGAACGTCCTATTTCTTCTCTGTCCTTTAAACATTGAATATAATTATTAAAAGGAAAGCTAACAACACATCTGATAACTAAACTTTGAATCCACTTCTCTGGTATTGCAGAATTCATACCGATATTTAAAATTTTGCTTATTTAAATTTCGATTTACTGTATTTCATAGAAAAACTGATTCAAACTTAAAATGTGAATTGAAGTAATACTTGTACTTAATTTTATTAAAATCATTTTTGATCATCTGATTATACGTCTTGTTCTCTCCACTTATAAAACTAGAACACCCAAAACGACAAAACTTTTCAAGAAGAATTGAAATTTCATATTTCCGTGTTTTTTAGAACAGCTAATTGTAATAAAAAATATGAATTGAAGATATACTTCATCTCATTTAAGTCATTCTTAATACCCATCTTCTCTCAACTTTCATCATAACTTTTATCATAATATAGTTGAAAAATAATTTAAAATTGATCACTTCCGTTAAATTATATTCATTTTTAATTAGAGCTATGTTATGTTACTATACATATATAATATTTATACCAATTATATTAGCATTATACAAATATTCTAAGCTATATTGTACATATATTTAGGAACAATACGTACCTATCGTATTATATTTTTATAGAATTCATTAGTTGACTATTGTCTACCTATGAAGAGTGAAACTATACATATGGGAACTAAATCGTAAATATTTTAAAATGATAATGAACAACTACTGCTTAAATTGTCTATAAAATTTAATGCTTATAAAACATGTACTATATATAAAGTAATATATCGAATTTATAAAATAATGCTCAACATTTTTCCAAAATATTCTAAAATAATGTTTGGAAAATTTTTGTAAAATTTATCCATGAATTAATATTACTTCATTACAATTATAAAACTTGGGATTTAAATAATAAATGAATAAAAATAATTTTTAAGTACAAATATTGACAATTTAAGCATTCTTCGTAAAATATGAAATTTACTGCCCATTGTGACATAAAACAACCCAAGAAATGTATAAAGTCTAACTTTTTGCCCAACATCTCTCGCTTGTTTCCATCTTAAGACTTAAAAAGTTAATGTTTTTGTTTATTTTTTTATAATTTGCTATAATAATTTTTAGCTGCCATTTATAGGCCCATAAATTTTGAGCGGTCTAAGCCATAAGTTTTATGTGCTGCACAATTTGTTGTTGCTCTTTGAGTCATTGTTGAGGTTGTTGTTGTGTCGCTGTGTGTAATTTTTTTATTGCTAGTTCAAATCGCAGCGAGAAAAAACCATAAAAAACCATAAAAAACTAACAGAAACGACATAAAGAAAGCAAAGCAAACTGAAGTCTACAAAACGGCTGTGGCTGCGACTGCGACGTCGGCGTCGACGTCGACTTCTTTAGCTGAGAGTGCGGCTTTTGGCAGCGGCAGAAAGCAGCTTCAGAGCTCGCTGGCCACTTTGGCAGTCAGTTGGCCGTTGCTGCTTAAAGCGTGAGGAGGTTTTATACTCGTGAGTGGCACTGCAATCGGAGTTGGAGTTCCAGAGACTTGTACTAACTAGTAGTTGTATTTCAAAATTTCAGTTCGCGAGTTAAAACAAAGTTCGTATGCAATTCTTTTTTGCTTTAAATAATTATTTAATTTGTTGTTGTGGCTGGAGTTGTGTGACAAATTCTTGTTGTTGTGATTGTGAATTGTTGTATTTGTTATTGCTGATGCTGTTGTTGTTGTTGTTGTTGTTATGGTTGCTGCCGCACATTTCGCGCTCTGTTTGCTGCAAATTGCTGGCGTTTTTTGTTTATTGTTTGTTGTTGTTGCTGCTGCTGCTACTATTATTACACATTTATAAAACAGTTTTTCTTCTTATTATAATTGCTTTTGTTGTTGTTGCCGTCGCTGCTGTTACTTTGTGCAATTGCATAAAGATTGAAAGAAGTTGCCAGCGTTAATTTTTTGTTCATTTTTTGTATTTATATGTATTTATGTCCATTCACAACGGCCCCAATGGCGCTGTCTTTTGTTTGTTATATCATCATCGTCTGCGTGCTTGTTGTAACACTCTGTTGTTATAGCCAAGCTCCCGAAGTTGGCTCACATGTGTCACAACAGCAGATGATGATGATGATGATGATGATGTTCAGATGATGATAGCCGTCTTTTTTTTGGTTTCTGCATTTGCATTCAATTAACTTCTATTTCTCACATCACACTTTTGCGTCAGAGTTTTCTGTTATTTTCGATTTTTATTATTTTTTGCAAATTTTAGTGTCGCGTTTTTTATATGCTAATTTCTTTTGTTTTTAATGTTATTAATTGCCTGCAATGCGCTCTTGATTTATTTAGCAGTGGCTTTTTGGCCAATTCCTCTGATGTTGTTGTTGTTGTTACTGCTGCTGGTGCTACAGTTTAAGCCGATTGCGTCTAGATTTGTGTGGCTGTGGCCAATTCTAAACATGCCAATCAACAGTTAAGTTGTTAAACAAACTGACCTAGAAAAGGCATTAGCCAAACATGCTGTCAATCAGTGTGATCTGCTATCTGCTGGCCACAAAACGCCAAAGCCCAGCAAATTGGCAACTTTGTCAAGTCAAGCAGTTATCCCCTCCCCTACCGCCCCCCTCCATCACACTCTCTGCACCCACCTTTCGAGACTGTGGCTAACTAATACATTTTCTATTCGAGGCGACTAATGGCAGACAGCAATTTAAGCATAAAACCGCTAGCCAACGAGGTCAATGGCATGATTTGGCTTGTAGTTATGGTTACAAATACGCTGACTGCTACAAATAGTACACACACACACACACACACACCACATTTATACATACACACACACATATATACATACACACACGCATATATGCGCAACGCTTCACAAAACTTTGCAAAGTCATAATTTTGATTGATTTCAAATGGCGGCCAAAGAGGCTTATAAAAAAAAACTGCTGACTGAACAGAGTTTTGTGCGTAAAATTTTTGAAATATTATGCGTGTAGTAAATAATGCAAGCTGAATCCAAAGCACTCGACCATAAAAATACCCTTTCGTCATTTCTGGGTCAATGCAAATATATTTGGAGCATGCCACGAAGCCTAACAATCATTTGACATTTGACAAAAGTCACATTTTATAAAGTTTTTTGAAATATTTTTGGAAAAAGTGAAGGATTGCAAACACACACATTTATTTATGTTGGTGTCCATTTGAGTATTAATTAATTATGACAGGAATAAGTTAAGCGTTCTTTTGTAGGATGTAGATTTCAAAAGGGAATGGGACAAATAATTGACATTATTCTATATTCCCCAATGTATATATTCACAATTACAGGAAAATGTTCAGAAAGAATTTGTAAAATTTGTTAAGCTTCTAGACTCAACAATAGCTTTTCTCTTTAATGTAAGGTCCAAAATATTGACTGACTTTTGTGGAAGTTAAGGTGGAGAAAGATTTGTTCTCTTTAGCTTCTAAAGGTATATGAAACCAAAAACGATATTATTCATAATGTCCTATTATTTCAAGAGGTTATAATAGAATTATTATTATTATAATTATTAAAGAAAAAGAGGACTACATTTTCTGAAGTTTCAAAAGGAAGGCAAAAAAATTAGGACTGTGCAGTTGTTCCTCATAAGTAAATACCATAAATCCGATCTTGAAGAAATGTTGCAATTATTTTACTAAAGAATATATCGGATATATGGTTAGTGGTTTAAAATTTGTATTTTGGGCGAATGCATGCTCCCAATACTACTCAATAGTATCTAATAAATATTTCCGTTTGTCTATTACATGCATCGTCACAGAATTTACAGACTCTTTTACCCTTCGAGGAAATTACAGTTAAATGGGTTATAAAATTACTGAAAGAGCATTGGACAACTGACGTCAGTGATTTTATGTGCGCCAAGCATTTTCATTATCGACGCTTGGAAAATTCTCTTTCTCTAAAAAGTTTCTTGTGAAAGTTGTTAAAGTTGCCGCCAGTCTGTATGGAACCTCAACCTTCGTCAGTTAGCCACTCACTCAGACAGTCGCTTAGACAGCCAGCCAGGCAGACAAACAGACGGACAGACTAACAGACAATGAGTCAAATAGTCAGTTGGACAATCACTTCACTAGCTTTGACTTTTCCTTCAATAGAAGTTCTGGTGAAACTTTTTAACAGCCGGTTCTGCGAGTTTGCTTTTATCTTTTGTAAACAAAACGGCAGGCAGTCTGGCATTTTAGACTTTCCGTCTTTCCCACTTTCAGACTTTTGGACGGACCGGCATTCACATAAAAGCGCGCAGTTAATTTGTTGTTGTTTAATTCACACTATTGTTGAGAGATTTGACTGCTAAAGACATAATGAAGCCAGACCGATTATACTAAAGACATATGTATACTTGAACGTTCGAGTCTGTATGTTGTGACATTGCCTCTGAATAAAGATCTTGTTCATTGGCATATGAAAGCGGCTTTACGGCTCTAGTGGAGGTACAGCTTGCTCTAAACTATGGAACGCACATTGACCCACAAAACTGACAGCTGACCGATCACTGAGCTGTCGAAGCTAACAAAAAAAATTGTGCAATATTTCACAAAAGTATGGCTGCCAAGTGGGTTACTACTACTACTCTACTCAGCCGCTGGCAAGCGGGAAGGGACACATACTATAGAGTTTAAGTAGCGAACGATTACCGTTGGAGCTTAAGGCGTTAGAAAATTGCTTTGGGAAGAAAAGGGAGAGATTACGTAATAAACAATTAGTTTTGTTTGTTTGTTTTTTTTTTTCAAACACTTTAAACTATAAAGAAGAGAACGCTTCTTCTTTAGCTTTTGAATTCTGGCACGTTTTTGACTGTGACTGCGTCAACTTTAAAATTAGTAATCATCTCTTCTTTTTGTACTTGTATTTATAAAATAAATAATTAAACTGCTACAATAAATACAATCCACGAGCATTAAAGTGCTACTTCAATATTTAAAAAATAATATTTGAATTTTGAATTTTGAATAAATAAACCCATCGTTTGTAATATAGCTGTGTCTAGCAATTACCAATTTCCCACCTGCGCTCATTACAGATGTCATGATATTTAAATTTATTCGAGTATGAAATGCATACCTCAAAATCTACTCATCAACTACTGTTTGTTATCGCACACTTCAAAACAAATGGCAATTAGTGGCATGCAAATACACAGAGAAGTAGGTAATTATAGGTAACTATTGAAGTCGTCACAGTTCTTGTAACGACTCTCTTCAAACTTTGTAAGTGCCATTGGCAGTTCTACAATTTATCAATTATGCATTTCAGTCTCAATTAATCAATCAATCAGGGCCTAATGTATCAACAATTGGACCTTAAGTACGTACTTGTACTTCTAATTGTGCTCATCATGAATTGTTGTCAACGTGAATTGAATCAAAGATGAATAATTGAGTTAAACTCCCAAGCATTAAGTCTGATTCGTTGGAGATTTCCAGCCATGTCTTCAACTCTTTAAGCAGAAATGGCCGACTGACGGCTGTAATGTATTAACTGTTAATGAACTTGCAGCAAATATGTACTTTAACTGTCCCACAATTAGCCCTGTCGTTTGCTTGTTATGGCTTGTTGTTGTTGCTCTTCGTCGTTGTTTGTATGGACGAGTACAAGTATTTGTAACCACTTGGCTCGGTGCTGCTAATTACTGGTCTGCGCAGTGTGGAAGTTTTTCTCTTAGCCATTAAGTGGTACATATTATGATTATATTTTACACCCATTGACTTTTTAGACCGGATTTGTGTGCCTGTGCCTATGCGTGTGCGTGTGTGCGTTGCTTAACACCCCCCTGCCCCACTCGCTCGCAGCTCTTTCCCCTTTCGTTGTGCGCTGTTCGCTGTTCGCTCGTCTTTGCACTTCGCTACGCATCAAAATGATTTATTTACGTCTATTTACATTAAAGGCACAGCGACAGCAAACAACTTTTGTTGTTGTTGTTTTTTTTTTTTTTAATATGTACATATATACAAGTATTTTGCGTCTTTCCGAGTTACTTTTTGCCGCTTTCGTGTCTGCAAGAGCAACAAACAGCATTTACTTTCCATTTATGCTGACAAGCAACCGTCGCCCCCACCTTCTGCGTCACTGCTCTTGACAAAGTTTTGTACCTTATTTAGTACGTTTCTCTAATGACCCACTTTGAGTTGGAGCTTGAGCTCAGTTTGAGTTTGGGTTTGCTTTTGAGGAGAGACTCTGGGCACTGTAGAGTGAAGAGTTGAGAGCAAAGAGCAGCCACTGCTCGGACTTGGCTTGTAATTTTCGTAAAAGTGAGTGTCGCCAGACATGCGGCCAGACAACTGAACGAGCTGCAATTACAACAACAGCATTAACAGATACTCGCACTACAACAAAACAGCAAAAAGTTGTTTGTCAGTTAAAAAAAAGTTCAAAACTGGTTGCTGCTGCGCTCTCGATTGGTGTCAGCTGTGCAAACAGGGCTAGCCAGATCGGCCACTGTCTTTCTTCTTTCGTTTCGGGTTGCATCCTCTGTTAATGACTTTAGACGGCAACTTCGTCGTTGAACTTGCGCTCAGCTCTGCCCCTCCCCCCCCCCCTCCCCCCCCCCTCTATCTACTACCTTTCCACCACTAAGCCAAATGCAATTGTCGCGCTGTTAAGTCGTTAAACGCATACGTTTTGGCTGAACAGCCAGAAAGACAAACAATACGAATCAGGCGAAATAAGTGAACTAAACACTGCACAGTGATTCGATTCAGCTAAGTATTATAAGAGAGAAATACTTTGCAAACTAAGCTCTTTGTAAGCCAAGACGAAACAGGAAAATAATGAGACCCCTAAAAGGATTTTCTTTAAGTTCATTTAGAGTGTCTCTTAAATATTCTCTTCAAAAGTCTCGGATATGGTTTCAAAAGTATGACACTGTAATGGCATGTCATTGAAGAGTTAATTTCGAAACCAAGCCATACTTGTAGAGTTTGATTTCTTAATTGACATCAATTAATTGACTGATAAGTGGATCGTTGCGGATACATAAGAGCAGAGATTGTTAATACAGATTTCCATAATATATACAAGTAATTCAAATCGATGGAAATGAATGTATCTCCCAATCACCACACAGAAACTCTCAAAAACCAAGTTCTCCGACATCCTAAATAGAGCTTTGTTGTTTAACCTTTAATAGAAATGTATATTTAGATTCAAAAAACAAATCGCTCACAAAGTTCTTAATAAAAAAAACAGAAACCGTGGGCTTTGATCAACAACTGTCTTCAACGCGTAGGCCGCGAAAACAGCTCTAATTCAGCCGAAATTTAAGAGAAACGAAATAAAAACTCATTCCTATTAGAGAATGAGTAGAGACTTAAGTACGATTATTGTTTCTGCCTACAGTTTGTTAAGTAATAGAAATAAATATAAATCTACTTTAGCTTTATCTCCGGTTAAAATTTTATTAGCAGCTTGACCAAGCCATAGAAATACTTTAATCCCCTTCGGCATGTTAAAGAAATACAAATTGTAAATGCATTTTTTTTTTAAATTTTTATATTATAGGTCTTAAAATGTTGGCAAAAGAATTTAAAAGGATATTCAGAAAACCCTTAACATACTGACGTATTCCACAAAACCGCTATGAGTAAAAATTATCCTTAAATATCTACCCCTAAACGACATTCTATCGCCATCAATATCATATCTATACAAGTGTGCTAGAGTTTTTTGATGGCTCGTTTGATTATGGTTGGTTCGTTAGCTTTTTAGCAAAATAAAATAGCAATTTCCACTGTGCGTTGCTGCCGCCTGCGCTTTCCGGAAATTATTGCAATTTTGCTGTCTTCTGTGTGCGCTCGCACAAGCAACTGAAACTTACGACTACACTATGCACAGTCGTATATATAGTATATATATAGTATGATATAGAGCCACAATAACCACCACATTGCCACAATGTTTTTGGGGTCTGTGTTGGAAAATTGACTTTCACTTTTCACGCTTAGTTTTGTGCTCGCATTGCGTTGCTTGCTCTGCACTTTTGCTTCTTTCTTTTCCGCCTCTTCTCTTTCATTGCAACAAATCGCAATTGTTGATGCATGTGCCAAACAGCAAATGACATGTTTAAATGGGGTTTTGCCACAGCAACAACTGCAACAACAGCAACAACAACGACAACAGCAATATTGTAGTGCGTCTTGGTTAAATAAAAACAAATCATTCAATCAACACACACAGGTTGGTCGCTGCGTCAACAGCACGCTCAACACTTTCGTCAACACTTTTGTGAACACTTCGGTCAACACTTTCTGGTCAGCTTTTTGTGGCAGCAACATCGTCATCGACATGGACACCTATTTGACGGAGATCAAACAATTGCGCATACCACGCCCCAAATTCGAACCTAATAGCTGTGCCCAGGCCCATCAGCATGCGCCGAGTCCCCACCATCACCACCACCAGCACCACAACCACCACCACCACCACCATCAGTGGCGACAGTTTGTGCGTCCCTTCACCCCGCCACGCGATTACCATTTGCCCGGCGGTGCCAACGACCCTCTCCGCTGGTCAGCGGCCGTAGGAGCCGCAGATGAGACGACAGCACATGATAATATGTGAGCCGAAATCGTTGCCTTTGTCTCCTGTGCCGGATAGTCGGATTGTCCTCAGCTCCCCCTCAAGATATTTGAGTTGGCATTACAGAGCGGCATTGTTTGCACACATATTGGCTATATACAACACACACTCGTATGTGCATACATAAAACAGCTACTTCTTAAAGCTCTATTACATAATTTAGTAGGTACTTAAGCTTAGTTTATATATATATATATACAACAAAAAAAATAATAATAACAAGAACAACAACATTTATAAGCACTTCTGTTGCACTCTTATGCTTACATTCATGACAATAAAGTAAAGAGCTTTTGCATAGTGTGTTGGAATTGGAATTGGCGAATATACTTGTAGTAGAGTATGATTTGGAATTGTTTTGTGAGCTGATCAATATTTTAAGTAAGTAAATAGTAGGAGTAAGTGCTGTCCATGATGCCATGAAATCGAAAGTCATTCTTAAGCATGATAATGCGTTCTACTTTCTGCTTAAGTGTGTTTGGCCAGTGATTGGAAAAAAAATGACCTACTGCCGGCGATTAGCATAACAAAGGAAAGGAAAATGAAATCCAAAGCCACACTATTACCTCGCCCAACAAAGAGGAGGAAATGGACTTGGGACGCCCTGCACGAGTGATGTTAAGAGAGCTTAATAAATGGACGTAAAAAGTAGCTTTTCTTAGAAATACGAACGATTTGATCACAAATAAAATATAACTGAACATTATGAAAGAAATCTCTGATGGTCTTAAAGTCTGCATATTTCTATGCAGAGATGATAAAAAAAATAAAGCCACACTAATACCTCGCCCAACAGAAGAGGAGGATATGTACTTGGGACACCCTGTACCAGTTATGTTATTGGCGAATGCCTCAAGGCATGAATAGTAGCTTTTAATCTCAAATAAATTATAATTGAACATTTTGAATGAAATGTCTCACGTTTGTAAAGAAAAAGCTTTTAATGTCATACCTATTGCTATACAGAATTGATAAAAAGAAATAAAGCCACACTATTGCTTCGCCCAGCAAAAGGAAGGGAATGTACTTGGGACACCCTGCGCGAGTTATGTTATTGGCGAATGCCTCAAGACATGAAAAGTAGCTTTTAATAACAAAAAAATTGTAACTGAAAATTAAAAAAAAAAAAACCTGACGTTTTTGAAGAGGGAGGTACCACTTTTTTTTATACAGAACTAATTAAAAAACCTTAAAAAAATAAATGTTTCTAATAAATATTGAAACAATTTTGTAAATTAACGCCAGTTATGTTTTAAAAGCAAAATAGTCTAGTTCACTTTAAAGTTGGTTTCTCCTGCTATACAGAAGTAACTTCAAGAACAAATGATTCGATAATCACGATATCCCACATACATGTAGAACCCATCGCTTAAACCAAAATTTTAGGGCACTCTGGAGTCGCTTACTCACCGCATCTTGTTCATATTCCGGTAATAGGGTTTCGCTGCCCCGTCGAGTTCTATGCTCATCACAGCCGTATTCCTATGCCGAAGGGGAAATTTTGAAAAAGAAAATAAATTCAGCTTAATGCCTCGCACAATAGACTAGACCAGTTTTGATATCAATAAAATATGGTTAACACTAATTTGCAGCCAATTAGACAACATTTAAATAGAGGGGAAAACAAATACTATAAGAGTATTTAGAGACAAAGACAAACATTTAAACGGAAAATTGTTGTTAGATAGAAATAAAAATCATATCAAATCACAAAAGAAACGACGACACATATGTAGACAATTACACAAACAAATATGTACTTATTATTTGGATAGAGTTTGAAAATCGCGCCAATATTTCTTTTGCCACGAATGTCAATTTTTTCTTGGCTATCTGAATGCAATTTAATCAAGTTGTGCAGAAGAATGTTGGGACGAGAAGCATAACTATACGTATAAACCAAGATAAAGTAATGCTCTCTGTTAGAGTTTTTCTCGAGATCATCGGTAAAAGTTTTGTTAGAACTTTTGAAAGAGAGGCTGCGCTGTAGAACAGGCAGCTAACAGTAAGTAATAGAGGAAGTGAGATTCGGAGAGAGAGAGCGAGAGATAGAGATAGAGATGGAGAGGGAGACAGATAGCTCTAAGTGTTTCCAATTCTTCTCTTCTATTACACACTTCAACTTTAATCTGACCTGTTGCTGATTGTCTTTGGCTTGCTTGAACTTGATTTGATTTGGTCCCAACTGTTGATGATGACGCAGTGCTCCAACGCCGCCAATACCGATGCCGATGCCACCCGGTCCACCCGAACCACCCGAACCACCCGGACCACCCAGATGACGCAATGAGGCATGACGCGTATGTGGTGGATAATGTGGTGGTGGTGGTGGTGAATTGGTTGCTGCATGGGATGCGGATGCAGATGCGGATGCTGACTGATAATGTGTTGGCTGTGAACGATGCAGTATTGGTCCCGCCGACATGGGCCGATAGGGCAATTGTATCGCAGGTCTATCAAATAGACGGCAATGCAACGAATAGAGGTCAGTTATGTTTTGTTTAATCGATGAGTCTTTTTTAATCTAATTAGGTGCTCTAAGTTAGCTACCGTTTATGTATATCCGTTACTGTCATGCCCAGGCCCGAGTCCGATGAGGGACTACGTCCGGTGGCCGCGCTTACTTCCAAATCGTCAGCTGTGACCTGTTGGATGAATGGAACGAACGTTGTTTTGCATACGATTCAGAGACTGAGAAATAGTGTGTGAGAGAGAATTGAGTGTGTACGAGTACTATATGTTTAGGCTAGTCCTGGGTAGAGTTTTTTGGATCGGCTACTGATCATAGACAGATTGTTTGTTTGTTTGTTGTGTGATAAATAGAGACAGCGATAGGGAGAGAGGTTGAGAGAGCGAAAAGTGAATTGTGACTGTATTATCACTTGATGGTGCAGTTTGTCGTGAAGTCTAAATTCCATTTCTCTTCTATAGTATATGTAGTTGTGTAATTGTTAGGTATTCCATATTATATATATTATGTTCTGTATAGTTGGTGCGTAGCATAGATGGGTGACTGCATTAGTTGTGGTGCACTTTTTCATGTGAGAGAATAAGCTCTATAAATATTTATAAATTATTTCATTTTGTTTACTCCTCAGCCAATCGTATTATTTGTTGTTGTTATATACACAATATTTTTGCCCAACACGTCGCACTTCATTGTCAGAATGCTTTTATATACTTATGTAGAAAGAATAATATCCATTGGTACTTAGTACAAATACTTCGGCACTTGCTACTAATTCTTATTTAAAAAACAATTAGTTTATGCAACTACTTAAAACTGCAAAGTGTTCAATTTTCAGCTAAAGTAAAAAAAAATTGACATTCGTTTAGATTTTCCGTTTCTTTGGATCAAGAATTTGAAGCCAATTTCATATTTGTAGGCAAATTTGAGAAGATAATGTTTTGTTAAGCAAACTGAAAGGCATGCAGCTAATAAGGCAATATAGCTATAGTATAAAGGCACATCGTATATATGTATGTAGTATGTTCCTTCATCCGAAGTATATTTAATTACATTTTAATAAAAAATTGATAAAAACACGCACAACAATTAAACTACAGGTTTTTATTTGTCTGTCAAGTGTTGGTAATGTATTTAAAAAGTGTTGAGTAATATAATCATACTTTGATGCTCTTGGCTTTAATTTTTTCTTGCGTGTTTTCTTCAATAAAACAACGACAACAACAGCAACAACTATTAAGAAGTCTTACATAAATATTTTGATTAACACAAGAGACACATAGACTTTGTTAGAAGTTAACGTAAATTTTATGACTTTTTTTTATCGTAATAGCTGTGATTTTTTTGTTTAAATTAATCTAGGCGAGTAGTAGAGTTTTTATTGTTTTCAGAACATGCGGAGTGTTTATATAATTTGCTAGGTGTATATAGTATCTGTATCGTAGAATAAATCTTCTAAAAAGCTTACCGGCAAATCACGTGCGGGGTCTCCCTTACGCTGTAAGAAAGAAAGTAGCGTTGAGGAGAAAGAAAGCATAATTAAAATGTATTCTAACAAAGTGTATTTTATTTGAGGTGAGTTAATAATATAAAATTTACCCTATGCCTATCCACGCTATATGGATCACGTTCCCGCCTATAGACAAGCTCATCATAGCGCGTCCGATCTTCGGGAAATACCAGTTCCCGTATTTCCGTCACCAGCGTATGCTATAAGAATTATAATCCTTATTTCGAACCGCACCTAGTTTAGGAATTGAGTTTACTCACCTTTTCGTACGTATCTAACATCTCTAATAAGACGGCAACAAAGGCATCTATGGTCATTGCTTTCGCACTATATTCGGCAATATAGTAGGAAAGGCTTGCAAAATGGGGGCGGGGCAACAACGAGCGCGCCTTCTCCTCCACCATGGTGGCGATTTGACCTTTTCGGCGTGCTCTGTGTCCAATGAAATAGTTATTAATCGTCTTTATAGAAGAAGAGTGTGCGTTTTTTTTTACCTGGTGCCCGTCGGACTGTACGCATCCCAGGGCTCCATCTCAATGGATGTGCAGGAATGCGGCACCTTGCCCACATCACGTATCACCAGCGACATGCGCTTGTGATATTTCAACTGACCGACGGCCTCGTCGTGAGTGACATCGAGGAAGGACTGACCATTTACCTCGAGTATCTCATCGCCGATCATGAGGCCAGAGCGATCAGCCACACTATCTTTGTCCACACCAGTGACAAAAATTCCCAGACCATATTCTACGCCGCCACGTATCATCAGGCCCAGCGATTGGCCGGGTTCGATGAGCAGTTCAACGCGACGTATGCTATTGATTGATTGATTGATGCCCATTTAATTGTTCCACAATCTGAGGGGAGCGGATTGTTGACTTACCGATCCCTGCGATCACTACGCCTGCCGCCATACTCCATGGGCGGGGAGGCGGGTCGGCCGTGACGATCCATCCAGGAGCAGGTCTGGCGATAGGGTAAGCCCGCACCGCCACCCGCTCCCGCCGCATGCGCCGAACTCTGTGGTAGCAGGGGTGCCATCGAAGCGTACATCGGATCTCGGGAGGGCGGTCCGAAGCCGTGCAGCGGCGCCGTCGAGTTCAGCGTGGGTGGCGCTCGCACCGTCATACTGATTTGACGTGACGATTTCAATATCTGCACACATCTCTGCGTTAAGAAAAAATGTGGCAATAGAAGAGACACAAAAGAGAGACAGAGCGAGCGAGCGAACGAACGAACGAACGAGGAAGAAAGAGTAGAAGACAAAAGACGGACGTAACACAATACATAGAAATAAAATGGGTGGGTGGGTGTCAGAACGTACAACAAAATTAGTATTTCGAAATGAATTGCAATCAAAAGTTAATTAAAATGTTCAAAAAAGCAAAAGTGTTACCAACGTTTAAAGTGGAGAGTGGAAAGTGGAAAGTGAAAAGTGTGTGTAGGTGTTAATAATAGTAAGTAAGTGTGTGCTGTTTGTCCCTCCGGTGGATGGTCAAGGGTGGGCGTGTGAGTGGGCGTAGCCATATACGATTGTGCTGCTACTATTGTTCTATATAATTCAGTCCGATTCCGTTCCGTCCTGTCCAGTCCTGTCCAGTCCTCTCTGGCAGTTTGTTGCGGTCTGCATTTTGCTTTGCGGCTTGTCAACCTTTGCCCTACACATATACATTTTAAACATTGCTTTAATTGTTTTTGACCAAAAACTAAATGCCCAACTGTGGCAAATGCAAAAGCAAATTCCTTAGTTGATTGTGTGCGTGGATGTGTGAAATACGCAAAATGTTATGAGAATCCTTCCACCTGCTCGACCAAAATCCTAACCCACTCGGCTACAACACATGTTTTGTGGTTGGATATTAATCGATTGGGCTATTAAATGGCCAAGGATCAAATCAACACCAAACAGTTGCTCATTAAATATTTATTGCAATTTCAGTAGACAATTTACGCTTCAACAGCATGACATCATTTGTTGTAAAGCCAAAGAAAACTAATTCAGAAATGTTTATCTATATATCTAAATAAATTTGTTCAATTGTTCCTTAATGTGCGAAAGCTACATACTCTACCTACGAAGCAAAAAGCTTGCATAACTTTTGACTTAAGAAACCATGGAGATTGTAAAGTGTATTGCAGCCGAAAGAATTTGTTAATACCTAGTTAAAAATATATCGTGAAGGTTCAACTTGATCTGAAAATTTTAGATTTCATATTAACGTGTAAAATATACAAAGCTCTATCTAAAAAACAACTGGTTGTAATGTGTAATGTAGAAAGAATTTTAAATACTTAGTTAGAAACATGTCTTCAAGGTTCATCTTGATCTAAAAACTTGGCAGCTTTTTTACACAGCTAGACACATAGTATTAACTATTATTGCCTCTTTCAGATTGGCATCTAATTTTCACTTAAATTGAATTGCTTCAATTAAACGCAATAACTAGGAACAAATTCTTGATTAATACGAAACAACTTTAAGTTAAAGTTTTTCATAGTATCCTCATAAAATTGAGTAGTTGAATGAGAACAGTTCTTCAATGAACAGTTCTTCAAAAGTTTAGATATTGAATTATGGACTCTGTGTAGCCAGACTCTTATTTTGTCCTTTGTGAGTACAATTTCCATTCATTCCAGGCTGCGTCTATTATGGTGTCTTAAAAGCATATTTTGAAGTAACACTTTTTTAAAAAACTAACCAGTACCTCAGCTGATAGCTAAGTTTAGGAAATACAATTGAATTGAATCTCGGGCATATATAACATTACACACCTTCCCAAAAATTCCGACTTTTAACTGAATTCAATAAATGTGTAAGTTTGAAGAAGTCATTTAAGTAATTGCTTCAATAATTGAAGAGTCAATTTCTAAAAAATGTTTAACATCAAATAATTCATTGTAAGTCAGTCAGTCAGTCATTTCTTAAGAATTCCTTTGTGAGCTGTGTTTATAATTATTTCAACATTATTATTTTCATATTTTTTACACTTGCCTAATTGGTCTTTAAACTACAGTCAACTGTACATACGTGGGCCTAGTTAGTGCTAGTTGTGTGTGTTCAAAAGCATATTAGAGGCTTACGTAAATAGAACGAACAAAAAATGAAATCAAGTTAAACAAAAGAAGAACAAAAACCAAAAATAATTTCCAAAATATATACAAACAATGCGACTAATCTATTGCCAATTTTTTCTCAGTGTATTTTGAATTAGTGTATCTTATGATTGCTTTCAAGTTTAGTAAGAGTCATACAAAATATGTTTCATGTTTCAAAGTGCATTAAATAGTATACGTAAGAAAATGTCTACGAAAACCGTTTAGAACATACGAGCTTGTCCAAAACCGATCGAACAGAACAAGTTTGTCAATTTCGTAAACTTTGCATTGCAAGCAGCAGCAACAACAACAACAAGAATGCACCGTGGGAAATGGAGCAGTGTGTGTGTGTGTGTGTGTGTGTGCCATGTCGGTGCTCCTGTACCGCCCAATAAACTGGTACTACTCGTAGTAGAATGTGAAGCATTATATTGACTATCATAATGTGTCACATAAAATATTGCACAATAAATTGACTTTCGTTGTCAGGCAGACAGGCAGGCAGGCAGGCAGGCATTTTGGCCGATCGGACAGACACTTTGTTAGCCAAGTGCAGCCCATAAAGTGGCAAAGACGATGGAAGATGGAAGATGGGCGATGGGCGATAGGCGAAGTCTTTGTCGTTCTTGTTGTCGTTGTCGTTGTCGATGAAAACCTCGATGGCTGCGAAAATGTTGCCCCCATTATCGCAACTATTAACAGGCAAACAAGCTGCCTATGGCGAAAATCGCATTAAAAATCAATAAAGTGTGCAATAGAATTACTTTTGATAAAAAGATTTTGACATAGCCAGCCACTCTCTCTCACACACACACACACACACGCCTAGCGACCCCAAATTCCATTGTTTGGCATTGTCTTATGCGTTTGCTTGTTCTTGTTGTTGTTGCTGCTGCTGTTGTTACCATCCGTATGTGCTAATCGATTTTTCTCTCTATACGTAATATATAGTAGTATATAGTATGTAGTATTTATACTTTGCCAGCTACTCTAGCCATTATCTACTGAATTATTATTGTGGAAAAAATTGAATTGTGAAAATGCGTCTCACCTTCAGCGCCTCCTCGTGATTGATTGAAGTGAATGGCGTGCCGTTCACCTCTAGGATTGTATCACCGGGTCGGAGACCAGCGCGTTCCGCCACAGAGTTCTCCTCGATGCGTGAGATGTAAACACCTAAGCCTAAAGTAAACAGATCGATGGGAGTGGGTGTGGGAATGGGTGTAGAGGTGGAAATCAATTAGCAACTCGCATTAACAAAGGCGGCGTGCAATAAACTTTTAATAAATGACACGCCCACGACAATCTTTTTCCTCTTTTTTTTTTTGGTTGTTTGTTTTTTCCCTGTCGCTCTTCTCTTGTGTTCATAGGAGCCCTTTTTTCATTAAGCCGGCGGGCGAGCAGCTGCTTACAGGGCCATGTAAGTGTGTGTGTGTGTGTGTGTTTGTACATGTGTGTGGCAGCCATTATATGTTTAATTTATAAAGCACGTGTGCTTGAAAGCACACACAAACAACTTACAAACACACAGGCACACAGACACATACGAGTACTCGCACATACAGCCAGACATGGCATGGTGAATGAATGGAAAACAGCGGAAGAGTGCGGGCTTTGTGGCAAGGGCTGCATTCAGCGCACCTTAAATAGATTTTTATTGATTTTAAAGCACGCCGCACATTGTCGACAACGTCGTCGCATTACCAACTAAAAATAAAATGGTCAGAGCGTCGAGAAAACGGGCACAAATTGAAGTCGAGCCCAAACCCCCAAGCCGTCTCGACCCGTCGCGTCCCGTCCCGTCCCATCCAGCTACAATGGCAACCAGGTGCAAAATGCGCTTAAATATATGTCAGAGCTGCTCGCTGTTTGTCACACAGAAGTCCGTACAGTCCAAATGGATATATGTACTATATGTGAGCACACACTCCAGCATACATAGAAATTGAGAATTAAATTGCATGAAATAGTGAAATGTCGCAGCTGAACGGGCACGTAATGGAACCAAGCGATACAATCGTATTGACATATTCACACACTCGTACATACTCGTATCTACTATAATGTGGCGAGATATGGTGACCCAAAAACAAATTTCCACGAATCTCTGGACATTTCTCAGTTTGTCTAGCACCAATATTTAATTTATTTTTAACAGTTTAGAATGAACAACTGTATTTGCGAAGAATACTAAGAAGTTGCAGATAAATGTTAATGCACAACGAAATAATACAACTTGCTAACATAATATACAATAAATAAATAAAATATGCAATTAAATATATAGTAAACAAATACTCGTTTCTCATAATAATCAAAAATACAATAAAGAATTATTTAGTTTTGATTCTTTAATAAATAAAATTCATAAGAATGTATACAAAATTACTTAATGAGTGAATAATTGAAAAAATAATGTTAAAATATCAAAAAATAAATACATTAAATTATGACAGTAACAATTTTCAATTATACATTACGTTTTTTAAAGAAAAGTCAAAGAAGATTGTTCAAGAATTTACATTAATAGATATTCTTAAATTATAAATTAACACAAACAACGAAAGCAATTATTTTTTGAACATATAAATAAACTATTCTACATAAATGCTGACAAAGAAGCCTATCATGAAAATAAAGTATATAATTTTCATTTTATTTATAAATGAAATTAAATAAAACAGAGAAATAAATAAATAAATAACACATGGAAAGTTATGTTTTAATGATAAATGAATGAACTAATTAAAATAATAGCGGATAACTCAAATAATAAATTCAATATTTTGTTTGTTATTGATATTACAAGTATAATTGATTGAAAAAAACAATATAAATACTTTTAATATTGAATTTATTCAAAGATGAAATGATGAAAATTATTTGATAAGAACGTATTATGTTTTCACTGAAGCATACAAATCATTAAAATAAATTAAATATTTTAAAATTTATATATAATCTTTAAATACATAAATTAAATTATTTTTTCTTTAATGCCTAACCAAAAAATGAAACAAAATAAATATTAAACAATTGCTGCGCTCAAAAAACATTTTTTATGAAAGATGATTCATGTGGTTTCTTTGATTTGATTTTATTAGATTTCATTTCTATTTTTTTTTTTTCTAAATGATCTCATTGATCTCCAAATTGATTCCATGCCGTCTTGGGTGGATCGACAAATTGGTTTCATGATTCTTATTCGAAACCAATGGCTTACTGGTATTTTTCAAGAGAAATCAAAAGTAGGAGCATTTTTTTATCAATTAATGGAGAGTACGTGGAAATAACGTGAGCCAAAACCCCCCTTTATAATTCAGTTTATTCTATATTGTCGAAGCTCGTTTTTGTGCGGAACATTTTAACTAAGCTTATCCCCTTATCTGTACCAATATCTGCAAATAATATATGCGTCTTGGCTGAATTCGTACCCACCTGAGTCTTTGCCTCCTTTGACGCATATTCCGAAACCATGATCGACCTGCTGATCACGTGACATGTTAACGGTGCGCGTGGTAAGTTCGTGTATGTTGGGCACACTGCGGTCTCTGTCCCGCTCGCGATCGCGATAGATCTGCAAGAGAATGGATCAGAAAGAGGTTCGGATTTTGACATACTTGTAGAATCCTTTAGACTCACCTGATGCGTTGTCGAGGGCGGACTGCTCGCCGGACTGCGTCGGCCCGTGCGATCGCGCGTGCCTCCATTGCTGTAGTGGTAGCTACTCGTAGGAACTGAAGACGATTGGGTTGCGCCGAACATGCGCAACACCTGCTCCGGCGATATGGGCCGCTTCTTGTTGCCATTGCTCATGGCCGCCGCAGCCGCATGCCGAGCGCTGGCCGCCGTCGACGTGGGCAGAGTGCCCGCCGTTCCCGCGGCCATGTGACTTGATGGTGAACTGCTAAGGTATGCCGAGCCCCGGCCCGGCAACGACCCACCCTTGGAGGGCACACCAGCCGAATTGTAGTAATAGTGCGGCGAATGGGGCCGTTCAATGATCGTGTACGATGTGCCTGGCGGTGAGTAATACAGGCCTGAGCGTCCGCCGCCGCCGGCGCCACCGCTAGCACGCAACGAGCTGGTGCTGTTGCCAACGCGGGAGCCAACGCCGTAGGGCCCACTGCCTGGTGGCGGACTGATCATGCCAAAGCCCAGGCCAATGTCCTCAGCCTCATAACTGCTCGGCACAGCTGCACTGCTGCGTAAATGGTGGGCGGAGAGGCCCGCGGAACCACCCGTGGGCACGCTCGATGATGATTGTGTGGCGCCGCCGATGCCAATACCGGCTGCTGCTGCATTCGCTGCTGTTGCATGGTAACCATAGGCTCGTGTACTCCAGCGTGAGGGTCCAAGATCGCATAATTCGGCATAGTCGTTACCAGCTGCGCTCATTGTCAGGGGGTCGCCGTCGTATGGTAAGCCACTACCCCCAAGGCGCATTACACTGTTGGGGCTGCAAAAGAAAGTTTACAGAAATGTCACAATTCATTTCAAAATAATTTTAAAATGTAATGAATATATTTGCTTAGACTATGGTGCCAATCTATACGCGAAACCTCCCAGCAAATCAATTCATTTGAATAATCTTCCAAGAGTAGCAATTAACAGCCATCTTTGAATTAGGTCCTTTCCTTTGAGGACCCAAATCTTAAAAGTACGCATTTTTTGTATCAATTACAAAGAGGAAGTTGATTTTCATGTGAGAAGAAATATTCTCTATGCAAAGTTTTGTTTACAAGAGGAAGTCCAATTTATTGGCCCAACAAAATTTTAACATTCTTTTTGTACATTAAAAATATACGTTTATTTAGATATATCATATAAGCTTTAATATCGAACATATTTTAGCTCCGACTTCCCAGAAATCCAGTTCTACAGAATTTTTTACAACACAGTCCTCTCTCCTTTGAGACCACAAATCTTAAAAGTAACAATTAAAAAAAGGGAATTCATTTTGAAGTGAGAAGAAATATGCAAAGTTTTTTTTACAAGAGGAAGTCAAATTTATTGGGCCAACAAAATTTTAACATTTTTTTTCTTACTTAAAAAATAGATACATAGGTATCCTGTTCTAGGGAATTGTTGTTCTCCATTTTTTCGTAACAATTAAAAAAATAGGGAATTAATTTTGAAGCGAAAAAAAAATTGTAAGCAGATTTTTTTTATGCTTTAATATCGTTCCTATTTTTGCTCCGACTATCTAGAAGTCCTGCTCTTGACAATCCTCTGTACATTTCTCTTAGGACAAATGTTCGCAAATGGTTATTAAAAGTGCAGTGCAGGAGCAGAGAAGAGGCTGCACTCATAGATCCTGCCTCTTGATAGGTACTTTATAAAAGTCCTTAATCTTAATCTTATATGTTCATTGTGCCAAATAAAATATGAATCATTTGTGAACTAATTGAAGGAGATAGAAATACAGCACATTTTAAAATTAAAAATAAAATGTAATACAATTTAAAGACCAAAAAATGAATTTCCTATTTACTCAGAATTCATTTGTGCTCCCCGTACTTGTGTGTAAGACTAGGCAAAACGAACGAAAAACAATAACAACAATTTGTTGAAGAGAAATTATTAAGATTAATCATTAATTACTTTTTTGTTTAAAAATATGCCCTGCATTTTTATGATTTAAATTAAATGATTTAAAAGCAACATTATTTGGCACAATTATTGAAATTTCCACGGCAAGGCTATTAGTAAATAATCCCTTGCTCGCTAAATTAATTAATTAAAAGCTTTTAATTTATAAAAAACAACATGCGCAGAGGCTTAAATTTTTTTTTTTTTTTGTGTTCACCATTGTATCATTGCATTTTTGAATTTTGCAGATGAATCTTTCATTTGATGGCTCGGGTTCATATCAGCGTGATTGTTTTTCCAGTGCAGTCGCTGTGTAAGCAAGTGAGTAAGCGAAAATAGGCTAACTGTCTGCCTGTCCTGCCCCCCTCTCATCCCATCCCATCCCATCCTGTCCGGTCTGTCCCTGTCTAGTGGTGGTGTCCTCCCCAAGCAGTGCCAGCGTCAGCCACTCTTTGTTTGCATTTACATTCATTGAAAGCGGAGCCGCTAAGCCGTAGCTCAGCGCGGCACTAGCTGCCATTACAAACAATAGCTTAATCTCCAGAGTCATATGTATGTTTGCATATATCCTCGCACACACACAGTGACAAACGAACACACATAGACACACATGGCTTGTTTGTTGGCGGCTTGTTTCTCTCAGCCGTGGGCTCTTTGTTTGCCCGCGTTTTGCCGCGCCGCGTGCAATTTCAGTTTCGAAATCAATAGGAACTTATGCTGCATTATTTATGTGCTAACTTTTACCAAACAAAGCCCGCACTAACACAGACAAATGCAAATACACACATCTATTCGCTATTCATACATATTCACACACACACACTCGCACAAGTTGGCCAACACGAAGCAGCCCCCCTTCATAAATAGTCGAAATTTTCGCTCACACCTAGGCACCCACTTAGTTAACGGCATGCGAGTGAGTTTTCCATTCCGCACACATTTGCACTGCGCACAAAAGTTTCACTTTCAATAAATTTACATTTGTTTCTCTGACTAATAGTTCTGACAACATTTTAAAGCGAAACTGTTTGCACGTTTTCGATGTGCAGGTCTCAAACAGTTTCGCATTATTTAATTTTTGCAGCATTTTTGTGCTGAATTTCAATGCAAATGTACAAATCGCAAAACGTTTAATTAATTAAGCATTTTATTTTCTGCTATATGTATTTTTTTCCTAGCAATCTCGCAAATTGGTTGTGTATTTAAGTAAAGTTAACTCCTAAGTTTAAGTCCTTTAATATTTATATACTATCCAGCGAGAATAAATACAAGTATTGAACGGAAAAAATATAACTTTGCTCAGCAAACATAACATTCTAGTGATACTTAAGACAAAAATCAACTAAAAACCTGATTTTTTCATCAACTAATTAATTTGTTAATGAGCTTAAATTATTAAAAAAAGACAAAGAAATATTAACATATTCGTAAAGAATCAAAAAATGTTAAGAGACTTTGCTCCATTAATCCTTTTCTATTGCCACTACTCGTATATTTCATTATTTTAATTTTGAAAATAGACTTCCGTACAACCTCTCGTCTTAAACTTTATCCTTACTACTTTGTGTAATTTTATAAAAGCACTTAACATTTTATTAGTTTGCGAACTCTAATGTGTTTGAGTTCATAAAGCATAAAGTATCTTATTATTTCATGATTGAGCTCATTGAAAACTTGATAATCCCCTCAAAAAAAGGCCAATTTATTTTGGAGATAAATTGTTTTAAATGGGGAAACAATTTTATATATTTTCCAACTTTTTTTTATAAATGCGGAATTGTTTCTGGACCTACGCTGTCTCCACTAGTTATGCATTATTTTGGTTTCAAGGATTCCCTTCTGTAAATTTCGAAAGGAAAGTTACACTCATCTATCATGAGCTGCTTCTACATGACCGAAAAATTCAATGAGATCTATTGACTTTTAGATGGGCCATAAATTTATTCATTTAATAAGAACTTTCTGCTCTTAAAGTAAATTTTAATAGAATATTTATATATATTTCAAATATTTTATTCATGTAAGTGGCTAAGTTATTATTTATTATTCCAAATCTATAAAATGTCTACAAAAATGCATTTTCTGTACGCCTTTCCATTAGAAAAAGCTTTTTTATTACGAGTACAGAACCGTTAGACAATATTTAAGGACAGCAGAGCATAGGAAGTATAGTTAAGATGTTAGGAATATATATTTTTAAAACGTACTCTAATATTAGCAATTTGAAGATTAAAATACTATCTTGCTAATGAGGCCCTATTTCTTCTTATTGACGGCTTTAAATGATGACAACTATTTCTCAAAAAAAACTCACGCTCTCCATTTAAATGAAAATGTGGACTCTTTTTAGTGTTTCGGTAGCGTTGTGGCGAATTCTTGTTTCTGTATGCAATAAAACAATAAATTCCTCTCAAAAGCAAACGAGACCGTTTAATTACTGACTTACTATACATTACTCTTTGAATTTGAGAATCTTTTACTCCAAACTATCCACCCTGACTAGGCACCGATTAGCACAGAAATTCATAAATTAAAAAGCGTTCGATGCACTTATTGCCTGAACCGCTTAGGATACCCCATATCAAGATTGAAAGCAAATCAAGACAGAATGCAATGAATAAATATTATTTTGAAAAACTATTGATAACTCAATTCCAATTGATAATACAATTCATAAACAATCTGTTGGATTAATTTTCTGAAAATGTATTGTTAATTTTACAAAATCTATGCAATTATTGAAAAACGTTTAGAGAGCCTCTAGGAACTCAGCTATTTAGCTGCCTATGCTCGTATGCGAGCTAATAAAATATTATAAAACATATGTTTAGTAGAAAAGAAGACAGCTTGTAAATAAAAAGTGCTAACATATGCGTTTAATCTAATATGGAAAGTGGCAACAAATGGTGATAATTGCATACACTCGTGAGCTTAAACTCAGTCACAGCATTTGCTTTTCAAACGCTAAACAATGGGCAGGCGGGCAATTTTGTTGACGCTGAAGCGCACTTAGTGGTCGGCAAACACACACACACACACACTCATACAGACTGGCAGACAGACAGACAGACAAAACGGCATTTGCGAACACACACACACACACACACAGAGAGAGAAGCATACTCGTCGCGGCAGTGCCAGACTAGGGCAATTGTGCTTACGTCGAACAACCAGCCAATAATGTCCTTTTTGATTTACGATACACATTTGCATTTGTTTCACTACAAATTGGCAAGCAAACGCCATTAGAAAAATGCGCCACACACTCACACACACACACATATACACACCATCACACTCACACTTAATACATGAACGAACACATGCCATCGCTCTTTGAATGTACAAATATGTGTAAGTATGTAGGAGCATGTATATTTTTTATAAATATCAATAAGAAGCATCAAGCTTTTTGCTATACTTGTGTGTATGTGACAATAAATTTTGTTTTTGTTGTTATTTCTATTTCTTTCTTTTTTTGCTGTCTTGGCTTTGTTGTTAGAATAAACAGCAAAAACAGCATGCTCCGCCGTATTTACTCATGACCTTGCTGTTCAGATACAGCAGCAACAACAACTAACAATGAGCACACCCATACATCCGCACACATGACAATATGTATATACACATACATACATACATACATACATACATACATACATATGTATGTATGCCAGATACCCATGCATACATCGAGTAAGCCACGACAGTGCCAACGAGTTGCCCATCGTTGGCGTTGCCGTTGTCGTTGTTGTTGTTGTTGTGTTTGTTGGCTTGGTTCTGTCACAAGGACATTTTTCATGTGCACAATGTGACATTTTTGGAATTTGTTACTTTGGTTTCCACCAGTCGTCGCTCGCTATTCAA